TAATTAAGACTGTAATAAGTGTTGTCTTAATAAGAGCATTGTATATTCGACTGATAAATATTATAATACTTTAATATCACATTAGAAAGATAAATAACCATTGAATTTTATATAAAAATTTAAATAACATATTATTAATAACTTAAGTTTGTGTTTTTGAAAGTAAGTGATTTAAGTTTAAAAAGTTATTATGATAATGATATTTCTATCCAATTTTTATAAATGGTATTAAAGTATATATCAGTTTTCTAATTACAGATTAAAATAATTTTATAGATGATATTAATAATTTTGGTAATAGAAAATGTGATACGTTAATCTCATATTAAAAAACCATAAAGTTGTTGTCCTCTATATTAAGATTTAAAAATATCAAAGTTACTAATAATTTATAAATATAATATTTTTGTTAATTATGTCGTGGCAAAAGTAAATTAAAAAAAAAAAAAAACAGAAAAAGAAATTGAAGAGTAATGTCAACACATATAATATAATAAGTTATAAAATTAAATAATAATTAGTTAATTAGAATCATTGACCTTGAAATGTTCATATGCCCCTTTGTGAAACTTCATTCCCTAAGGGGCCATATTGGGTCGGTAAAACAGTTTGAATATAAATTAATTAATGAAAGTTAAGCTTCAAGTATTCTCTGCTAAAATTAGTTAAGTTATCCAGATGCCATGTTTAGAGTCATTGCACCTGGCACTACCTAAGACTTGCATGTGGCAATTCTTAACACTAACACCCTTTAATTAATTAATTAATTTCTCTGTATATTCTTTTTAATTAGGGTTTTCTCGTCAAACTAGGTGCCGCCCCCTCCATGTTACACCCAAAACCCTAAAAAGTTGCACACCACCCGTAGTTTTCTGTCTAAAATTTTTGGTCTTGGGAAACGGCAAGAGAGGCTCGGTCAGGTGGGTCTTTATTAATTTAAACCTATTTTAGTACTTACTAATTAAACATATATATATACATGTGGTGGAGTTAATGTTATGTGGCTATATATGGCTTCTTGTTATGATCCACATGCCACATGACATTGTTTAGTACCCATATGTAGAATTAGGTCAAACTTCTTTATTTTATAACGTGTATTTGTGTGTGTGTGTATGTGTGTGTTTATGCCCTTCCCACATTTTGGTAAACGTACTGCCTATTATTTGTTAATTAATTGGGATTAATTTCTCCTAATGCAGCTTATTATTTGATTAAAACCCAACTGTAAATTCTTTACATCAATTATTCTAATATAAGAGAGAATGATGTTTCATATCCCTAGTAAATTCTCATGCACGAGGTAAGAGGTAAAGTAGAAGATGAGACGATAGGAGTGGTGTACACATATATATATACATGCACACATACACGTATATGCTTAGAATCTCAAGGTTCCTTTGAGAGAACCAAATTTAGCCTGCTCTGCATAGCTCGAAATTCAACGAGAGCGTGGACGTGGCTGTTTTAGCTACAACCAGATTCATGAACATTTC